CCAGCTTCTGGGGCAATCCTTCCAGTTCTCCAGAGTGCTCAGTGTCTCTCCTATTACTCTGTGTTCTCAGGTCTCTGTGGGCTGCCCGTGCTGACTCAGAATCCCTTGGCCTCGGCCTCCCTGGGAGCCTCCATCAAGCTCACCTGCACTCTCAGCAGTGAGCACAGCAGCTACTACATTGAGTGGTATCAGCAGAGGCCAGGGAGAAGCCCTCAGTATGTAATGCATCTGAAGAGTGATGGCAGCTCCAGCAAGGGAGACGGGATCTCTGATCGGTTCTCAGGCTCCAGCGCTGGTGCTGACCGCTACTTAACTATCAGCAACCTTCACTCGGATGATGAGGCTCAGTATTACTGTGGAGTGAGCCACTCAATTGGTAGCGAGTTTGGGTAAGCCACAGTGCCACAGACAAGGGGGAAGTGAGACCAAAACCTCCCTCCTCTCCCTCTTGCTCATTAGGGACCTACAGTTCTAGCCAAACGTCTACGTCCAGTCAAGGACCCTGAACACTGAACCTCTTCCTCTTGCAAAAGTCCTTGTCCCTCATCTCTGCTCCCAAACAATCACTAGGCAGAGGTCACCTTGAACTGCACACATTTTGACCACATGACCTTCTTTTTTCCCTACCAGTCATGGAGACAATGCCAGGAAACCAAGCTGGGAGGATACATCCCGTGAGAGGGACCGGACTGAGGTGACTGTGTCTTCTTGGACCCCCATGAGGCCTTCAGATCCCTTGTGAAGCTCTGCGTGGTTTCAGGACATGGATCAAAGGTTCCTGAGGAGGAATCGGGAGCTTGCTGCAGTGAGCTAACGTGGTCAAAAGGGAGCCACCGGATCCTGTCCGGGTGCAGGCTGAGAAGCCAGGGAATGATGAACAACACTAACATCAATGCAAAGACCATTTTTTGACAGTGAACAAAAGATTTTAATAGACATGTTGCTAAAGATATACAGATGCCAGGTAATAATATTTAAATATATTCAGTCATTTATAACCAAGTATATGAAAATAATATTACAGTATATGGTTACACAGCTGAAATTTAATGTGCCACTTCTTGTATTTTAAAAAATGTTAATATATGCCTTTAATAACATATGGTATCACATCTTTCCACCCTCTTACTCTCCCTTAGAAACCCATCATTAGCCCAGGTCCGGTGAGTGTGCGGAGAGCTTCCTGCTACCCTGCGCTGGCGGGACCACTCCCAGCCCAGGCGCAGAGTGGGCCAGACCTTCTCCCAGCCCCTTGGGCCGCCCTCCACCACTCCGCAGTGCTTCCCCCACCCCGCCCGCTGAGTAGGATTTTCTGCCGAGTTCCGGGAGCCCCCAGACCCA